CTGTAACTCCACATACTACCTCATGTAACCCCACATAACTCCTCCTGAACACCACATACTACCCTCACTGAACCCCTTGGAGGCATGGGAGGAACATAGAAGGTTGGGTTTTGAGTCCCAGGTCTTGTATATTAGTTTAGGTCTTGGTCTGGTCTCCACCTGAGCTATCATGTGGAGGGAGTGTGCACGGTGCCAACTTGCCAGACGGCCCCGTGATTTTCCCCGGGGGGGTTGCATTGCAGACCTGTTTAAGAAAAGTTCCCCCCTGTTATTTCTGGGTTTTAAACCCTTTTACTTTTTAAACGTGTTACAGTACTGGTACAAAAAAGTTTCCTTGTTCAACCCGTTTTAAAACGTAGAGTGTTTTACCTTTTTTGACCCGTTTTAAAAAGGTTATGGTACTGTTACACATGTTTAAAGTTTGACAAATATAAAAAAAGGTCCAGTCCTGTTACACACCTATAATGCGGGTAACAGTCCGTTACCACGTATAAAACAGGTAACACCTTTCAAAAAGGTCAGGTAAGGTATGACAACCTTATTTATTTACCTTCCCCATAGGCCTTGTGGTGGCACCTGTAGGCCGTGTCTGCTATTTGAAACAGCGTAGCAGATCAACTCACCAGGGGGGCCCGTAAGGTCATCCCGACCTTCTGGGAACTGTGTGAAGTGGGGAAGACTGGCCCCCGGGGGGTTTGTCTTCTCCAGGAGATTCCCGGGGAAATTTCCCTTAGAGACAGAGCTTGGGTATGTTCCACTATCTTCGTTGTGTCTCTCGTAAGGGGCCTTTTAGGACCCGTAGCGCAGATCTTGCTCGACAGGAGGCAGTGGTGTTAGAGATAGCCATAAATGCAGTCACCCAAGCGTCAGATATAACTAGAAGCTGACGTACCTAGAAACTTCAGATAGAAAATTAGAAGCTGTCAATAGTAAACCCAGAAGCTGCAATGTAACCAGAAACTGACGTCATAGAAGCTTCAGATAGTAACCTGAAACGCAGTCACCTAAAAGCTGCAGATGTAAACCCCAGAAGTGACAGTCACCCAAAGCTTCAGATAGTAAAACCCAGAAGTGAAGTCACCTAGAACTGTCAGAAATAACCAAAAGCTGCAGTCACCCAGAAGCTGTCGATGTAACCCAGAAGTGACAGTCCCCCCAAAGCTGTCAATAGTAACCCGAACTGACGTCACCTAGAAGCTGTCACCACTCCCTATAAGCTGACAAGCTCTCCCGCGGTGTCTGATATTAAAATCTTCTGGATGTTTTTAAGACTCTTCCTAAAATTAGGTGAAGTAGATAGGTGAAATAGGTTCCTGGCCTGGGGGGTTTTAGACTCCCCCCACCCCCTGCTGACCACCTAGCGAAGTAGGGTTCTTCACCAGCGGGTAGACCCCGCCTGAAACCCAGAAATTGGGTGATGGTAGGTGCAGTGAGTGTGAGCGTCCCCTAATAACACTTGGTACTGAGCGTAACCTGTTACACTACTTGGTGTTCAGGGTCCCCTATACGTTCCCCATTCCCAAAACGACCCCCAGCGCACCTAATTATCACCTTGAAATGGGCACCACAGCGGTTGAATTGGGGTACCCACGAGATTATAAAGCAGGTTGTAACCAACCGTCGGTGCCTCGTTGTGCCCCCGGCTTTTGGTTTTTTACGGCGCTTTTACGTGCTAGAACTTTAATTTTGTGCATCTCCTTACGATAACCCCTAGCCCCTGGAACCAATCTTGGGCGGAAAACATTATAAATGAGTCAAAAAAGGGAATTGTGTGATTACCTAGAGAGTTTATGCCAGAGGGGATCAAGGCCTGTTTCCGTGTGAAAAAAATAAAAATAATTTAAGTTTTTAGAGGAAAAAAGTCTCCCCGAAAACATTGAATACTTTTTGTTAGTGTATACTACAGTGGTCCCCAATATTGAGATAAAGGTAAGTGTCATTTGAAAACAGGGGAATTTGTAAAAAGAAGTGATAACTATTGGGCAGGTGCCAGAAGTCGCCGAAACTTTCCCCAAGTCAGCTGTTTTAATAATCTTCCCGGCCTGCTATGTACTGCTATAATCTAGTGTACCGTGAATGCAGAATACAGGTTGTGTAGCAACTAACCATTTATAATGGTACTTGTGGAGTGGAGTGATTTCATTAGTTTCATTGTTTCATTTTCTTGAAATACGAGGTCGTTACTGTGAATTTCATATAACCTGTAGTTACCAGACGGTCGCAATATACACAACGAGAAAGCAATTTATTACTACAGAAAAAGCGTCCTTCCTCCCAAAATTTGCACCAGTCAAACTATAGTGATATATAGCATTTATTGTGTGGAGACGGAAAAAACAAAAATAGAAAGCAGATTACAGCGGATTGATAACTAAAGAGGTCGACTGTACTCATTGTAGGAGCTGCCCAGATATCACCCGGTCTTCAACACGCAAGTTATACCTTTTGTATCAGTCAAATCACTATAACTGGTAGATAATTTCCAGTAGATCCTTACCATGTGTTAGCTCAATTCACGACCAGTATGTTTTAAATAAGTGACCCACGGTTCAGAGCAGATCGACTGGTCCGAACCCTTGGACTGTCCGACCCTTGACTGGTCCGAACCGTGACTGGTTTCAACAGTTTCGTTCGGACAATAAAGCAGACTGAAAACGATGGGTTTGTAGGCGCCCTTATAATCACAACCTTAAAATCAGGAACGTGACGAGTAAGCTGTCCATTATACAAAAGAGTTAGAAACAGAATACAAATAGCTTCGAGCTTCATTTAAGGTTATTAATATTTAATATTACAAGAGGTTGCTAGTAGAATTGCAGTAAAATCAATCCCATTCAAATCATTATGAAGCTGTGTGTTAGTCTGTGGTCAGTCAAACAAACGGCTACCACATGGATAAATTGTCATTTTTGTGGAAATTGGTGTCACGCCCCTTGTGCAGATACCCAGAACTAGCTACAAGCAGGATTTTAAAACAGAGAAAGTGTTTTTGGGTTTGCCAATTGAGGAAAAATCTGTGGACTGAATTCAACAGGGTATTAAAAGAGGATAACATCCAAAGCTGCTTTCATAGAAAACTGGGAAGCTTTCTTACAACAGATGGGAACATAAAAAAGTCCGGGCTGAATGGTACGCCCCTTGATACTGGCCATGTAGTCCACAAACTGTAGAGGCTGGAGGTGATGTCTGGTAGTCAGTAATTGGGGGTGATGTGCTGTCCTGGGAGACAGTAATGGTGAAGCTGGTGGTGCTGTCTGGGAGACAGAAAGGTGAAGCTGGAGATACTGTCCTGGTAGACAGTAATGGTGAAGCTGGAGATTTGTCCAGGTAGTCGGGAATTATACGCAGGAAAGGAATAATATAAATGACCTCATAGAGGACAGGAGCCATAGTAGGGAAACATGTTGGAGTCAAAATTTAAGATAAAACCAATATTGCAAACCAGAAATACAGCGGGATATAGCTACACAGAGGACTACATTAGCAATAGTGGGATAAATTACCAAAAAACTGGTGGGAGCTCCATTGTTGGTGTGTAAAGGAGGATTGGAATATGTCAGGGAAACATGCACAACAGGGTATACGTCAAAGAAACCCAAGGCAAACGGAAACCAAGCCTGTGCTCATAATAGCACTTGGTATCTGTCTGCATGGGAATCTGGAAAACAGATGGGACATGCATCTATGACCACCTAGAAATATGTCTTGCCCATATGGACAAAACAGGAAATGCAAACTCCTTCCTGTAAGCTTTTTCACCCTGAAAATGTGTACCTCTTCAGTACAGGAAAGACTTGCTATACTTAAATTGCAGGGCATACCATCTAAAGGGGGACAAAAAGATACAAACATCCAGGCCATGGGATACCTGGGTAGCACAGCCACTCAAGTGGGAGAGGTTTATTGTGCAGGAGGAAAAAAAAACTGGCAGGAATGGCAGAAATCGATACACCAAATCCAGTCATTCATGGGTGGAAACCACAGTCGATGGCCTCCACTCCAAACCAACGCTTACAGATACTAAATGCCGGAAAAAAAATCCCCCCCCAGTACCAACAATACCAAACAGTCCAGATAAACATTCTCTTTGCAAATATACAGGGTCTAAAGCCAGCATAAACAACAAAATACCTTTCATCGTGGCTGCTTGCAGAGGCAAAGGCTATGTTTTTTTTTTTTCGGGGGGCGGCTTTCACTGAGACCCACATAAAGGATCACTTGGAACACGAATATGGATCCCAGGTTACAACCTATACAGATGTGACAGAGTGCACAGGCAAAAGGGGGGGTTGGCCTGTACCATTGCAGAGTCATTGTTTGCACAGGACTGTTTAATGCCTCAAATGACGTAGTGGAAGTTTTAGCAGTAAAGGTCGGAGAACCAAACCTAGGTCATTTGTGGTAGTCTAACAAGGCCTCCGGATGCAACATTCCCAGCAATTCCAGGAACCAGCTGTTAATAAAATTTGACCACTGTCTGGAAAATCCTTCCAGGCTCCTGCCACCACATCTTGCTCCTGGGGGATTTCAATTAAGGCACCTAAAATGGTTGGAATTTAGCAAATAATAGTGTTGCAGTAATAACACCAGGGAGGCAGCTCTGATGAAAACTCACACTCGCCCGAAGCTTTTAAATCTCTGCACAAAAATTCAATTTAAACCTGCAAATTATAGTGCCTACTAGACTGGAGAATTACACTAGACCTCATCTTCACTAAACAATGATGATCTGATAAGAAATGTCCCATATCAAAAACAATAAACTCAGATCACAACATAAATTGAGGTCAGACAGGTATGCGTGGAGCCCCAGACCGACAAAATGAGACTAGTCACGGGGGAGTATTCACCAAATTCAACTTCAAGAACAAAAAACATAAAGTGGGACCCAAAGTAAACAAGTCCTAACCGATATAAGCTGGAAGATATAATTAAGCAACACAGACCCAAACCTATGCTTGAAACAGATTAATCGGTGGCCACTCGATGTATGCCAAGGCTTATTTCCTCTAGAAAAGGAGGAGTAGATGTAAATATAAAGAGAACAGGCGCTCCCTTTACAGGCGGACGGAAAAGAATACAGAGCGGCTTAAAAAGAGGTCAAAAATATCAGAAATGCGCAGGGGAGACACTGGTCAGAAGAAATAAGCAAGCATCGAACTTAAGCTAAAAGAATCTTTAGGAGGTCAGGAATCGCGGGAAGAAACTAAAAGCCATAATGAAATCGAAAGAAACCAAAGTATTTATTCTCCTATGCCAAATCAAAATCGAGGAACAACGTCCAGTATTGGGCCCCTACTTAAACAAGATGGGTTCCGCTCTTGACACAGATGACAGTCAAGGATGAGTGAAGCTACTCAAGTCCATTATGACTCAGTTTTTTAGCAAGCCGCTAACCTGACTGAGAGTCGAAGATCAAAATGAATTTTTTATGAGGAGAGCCACAAAATTTGATTAACACAAGCCTATCCGTTGCTTATCCTGACGCCAATTGATTTCGATAAGCGATAAATGTCATGCCCTGACTCTGCCCAGGGCCAGACTCATGGAACTTGTGTTCATCAAAGAACTGCAAGAAGCCCCTGATCACGAGCCTTTTCCATCCTATGGAGCGGGAGCATGGACACGAGGGGTCGTCCCTCAGTTACTAAAAACAAACAGACATAGGCCCCACTCAACAAAGGGGGCAGTAAAGCAACAGTAAAGAACTACAGACCAATAGCACTTACATCCATATCATAATAATCTTTGATGGGTCTAAGAAGCAAGATCACTCACCCATCTAGTAACCCATCAGTTAAAAAAAACCAGGGCAACATGGGTTTTGAACTGGTCGCTCCTGTCTGTCTCAACTACTGGATCACTTCGGACTAGGTTCCTAAAATGCACTAGAAAGTGCAAAAAGAATGCAGATGTAATATATACAGACTTTGCAAAAGCCTTCGACAAGTGTGAACCATGGCGGAATAGCGCACAAAATGGCGCGCTAAAGGTATAAAAGGAAAGTTGGTCGTGGATCTTTAAATTTCCTCACTAACAGAACTCAGAAGAGTTATCGTCAACAGAGTAAAGTCCGAGGCAGCTACGGTGAAAAGTCTGTTCCACAAGGCACAGTATAGCTCCCATCTTGTTCCTCATCCTCATATCCGACATAGACAAGGATGTCTGCCCAGCACCGTTGTCTCCTTTGCAGATGACACCCGAATCTGCATGACAGTGTCTTCCATTGAGACACTTGCTAGGCTCCAGGCGGACATCAAACCAAATTTTCATGGGCTGCAGAAAACAATATGAAGTTCAACGATGAGAATTTCAATTCTCAGATATGGTAAACATGAGGAAATTAAATCTTCATCAGTGTACAAATACAATTTCTGGCCACAAAATAGAGCGAAACACCAACGTCAATGACCTGGGAGTGATTATGTCGGAGGATCTCACCTTCAAGACATAAACATTGTATCAATCGCATCTGCTAGAAAAAATGGAGGAATGGATAATGAGAAACTTCAAAAACATAGGGAGGCCACGCCCTGATGGGAACTCTTCAGGTCACTTGTTCTATCTAGGCTGGAATATTGCTGCACTCTAACAGGCACCTTTCAAGGAGGTGAATTGCCGACCTAGATAAGTACAGAGAACTTTCACGGTGCGCATAACGGAGATAAAACACCTCAAATTACTGGGAGCGCTTGAGGTTTCTAATCCTGTATCCTGCGAAAGCAGGAGGGAGAGATACATGATATTACACTGGAAATCCTTGAGGGACTTAGTACCGAAACTTGCCACACGAATAATCATCACTACGAAAGCAAAAGATTGGCAGGAGATGCACCATCCCCCCAATTGAAAGCAGGGTGTCACTAGCACGTTAAGAGATACATACAATAGTGTAGGGGCCAGGAGACTGTTCAACTGCCTCCCTGCAATACATAAGGGGGTTACCAACAGACCCTGGCAGGTCTTAAAGCTGGCACTGGACAAGCATAAAGTCAGTTCCTGATCAGCCGGGCTGTGGCTCGTACGTTGGTTTGCGTGCAGCCAGCAGCAACAGCCTGGTTGATCAGGCGCTGATCCACCAGGAGGCCTGGTCACAGACCGGGCCGCGGGGGCGTTGACCCCCGAAACTCTCTCCATGTAAACTCCATGTATACGTTACCCATTTCCCAAAACAGACACCCAGCAGCACCTAATTACTCACCTTGAAGATAGGACACCACAGCAGGTTGTACTTAGGTACCCACAGTAGATTATAATAGACAGGTGCCAGGTTAGGTTCCAGAGGACGTCCGTATGTGCCTTCCAGTTCGGAGCACCTAAGGAGCACCTGCTCACTCCTATTACCTAGCACAGCACCTACTTTCTTCTTCTGCTCCTGAGTCTGTTGAGAAAATAGAATTGCTTTAGGTTAAAAGCAATAAATTGCGCAGGTACACTTAAATACAGCGGCTGGGGATCACCAGGACCGGACCGCGGGGGCGTTGACCCCCGAAATCTTCTCTAGGTATACATATGACAGCAGTTGTGTGTAGGTCACCCGACGGGTGTTTCCTACACCTGTTGTCCTGATTCACTAGCAGCAAATAGGTACCTGGGTGTTAGTGGACTGGTGTGGGTCGCATCCTGGGGGACAAGATTAAGGACCCCAATGGAAATAAGTTTGACAGTCTCGATGACGCACATGACTTTATTGGGTTATCCTGGGTGGCTTACCCTCCGGGGTTAAAAAAATCCGAACGAAATTTTATTTAGTTATCTTGACGCACTGAATTTTTGGGTTATCCTGGGTGGATACCCTCCGGGGTTATAAATCCCAACGAAATCGTATCTTATCTTATCTTTAAGTGATTTATTTCCGTTCTGGTCCTTGACATGAGAAATGACTGACAGTGTTAGGAATGAAAAGAAGTTGGTTGTCATAGCTGTAAGTGGAACAAAGTTGAATTTCTGTGGGAGAAAATCAAATGGGATTAATCAGGAGAATCTGAGTGTGTTAAAAGTAAGGATGGAGTACAATAATGTTGGAATTAAATGGTATAATGTTAGTACAGAAGAAACTGGAGGATCAGGCACGTAAGACAGGGATGGGACTGCAGTGGATCAGTGAATACCTGACAGGGAGGCAACAAAGTCATGGTACGTGATGAGGTATCACATTGGGCACTGTGACGTGGGGGTACCAACAGGGGTCAGTCTTGGACAGTGCTATTTTTGGTATATGTGAATATGACATGATGGAAGGGATAGACTCAGAAGTGTCCCTGTTTCGCAGATGATGTGAAGTTAATGAGGAGAATTAAATCAGATGAGGATCAGGCAGGACTCAAAGAGGACCTGGACAGGCTGGGACACCTGGCCAGCAACTGGCTTCTCGAATTTAACACCGCCATATGCAAAGTCATGAAGATCGGGAAAGGGCAAAGGAAGACCGCAGACGGAGTATAGGCGAGGAAGCCAAACTGCTACCTCACTCAAGTGAAAAGGATCTTTGTGGGTGAGTATAACACCGAGCACATATCTGAAGCGCACATCAACAAATAACGGCTGCAGCATATGGGCGCCAGCAAACTCAGACAGCTTTCCGACATATTAATAAGGAATCATTCAGGACTGTACACCGTGTACGTTAGGCCCCATATTGGAGTAGGCGGCACCAGTTTGGAACCCACACCTAGCCAAGCACGTGAAGAAATAGAGAAAGTGCTAGGTTGCCATGGACTTTGTCCCAGAGCTAAGAGGTATGTCTACGAGGTGGGGTTAAGGGAAAATAACCTGTCGACACTGGAGGACAGGTGAGAGATAGGGGGGACATGATAACGAAATACAAAATACTGGAGAGAATCTACAAAGGTGGAAAGACAGGATGTTTCCAGTGATGTGACACAGCACAAGGGGACACTTTCGAAGTTGAAGACACAGGATAAGTCACAGGGATGTTAGGAAGTATTTCTTCAGCCACAAAGTAGTCAGGAAGTGGAATAGACTGGATATGAGGTAGGTGGAGGCAGAACCATAATAGCTTTAGGAAAAAGGTATGATTAAAGCTCTGGTTGCAGAGAGAGTGTCCTGTAGTGCAGTGTAGAGGCTGGGCCAGGAGATATGACTCGACCCCTGCAACCTCAACTAGGTTGAGCAAACTAGTTGAGACACACACACACACACACACAACACACCACACAACAAAACACTCACAGGACCAGCCCTGTCTGGAACCCACACTGGTCAATGCACGTAAGAAGTTAGAGAAAGTACCAAAGGTTTGCAACAAGGCTAGTCCCAGGTCATGGGAATGTCGTAAGAGGAAAGGTGAGGGAAATCGGGTCGACGACACTGGAGGGACAGAAGGGTCAGGGGAGGACTGATAACGACATACAAAGGATACTGCGGGAATGATAAGGTGGACAGAGTAGGATGTTCCAGAGAGGGGACCACCGGGTCAAGGGGTCACAACTAGAAGCTGGAAGACTCGACGAGTCATCGGGACGTTAGGAAGTATTTCTTCAGTCATAGAGTAGTCAGGAAGTGGAATAACCTAGCAAGTGAAGTAGTGGAGGCAGGAACCATAATAGTTTTAAGAACGGTATGACAAAAGCTCAGGAAGCAGAGAGAGAGAGAGAAGAACTAGTAGCAATCAGTGAGAAGGTTGGGCCAGGGCTGAGGTCTCGACCCTGCAAACCACATTAGGTGAGTACAATTAGGTGAGTACACACACGCACACACACACATACACACACATGCACACACACACACACACACATACTACCAGGTCTCCCACCCTCACAGACACCCCAAACCACAGTGTTGGAAAGGAAACTGAAGGTATGGTACACAAACACTGATGGAATAACAAACAAGTGGGAGGAGTGGCATGAAAGAGTCAAAGAGGCATCACCGGACATCATAGCGATCACAGAAACCAAGCTTACAGGTATGATAACAGATGCCACCTTTACAATGGGATACCAGATCCTGAGGAAAGACAGAGGGAACAGAGGGGGTGGAGGAGTGGCACTGCTGATCAAAATACTGTGAGGAATTTTGATGAGCTGGAGAGAGGGAGACTGTGGAGAAAGCAAGCGATTACATAGAAGGAATGCGTCACTTGGAGGTCCCAAAGGTGGTAATTGCAGTGATGTTAAAAACCCACCACAGACACTGCAGAAGGCCAAGACAAGAGTAGATGAGAGCAATAGAGCGGACGTTGTCACACTGGCTGCAGTGGCCATAGAAGAGCTCTGATGCAGGGCAAAGCTATGCATCGTGGGTGACTTTAACCACAAGGAAAATCGATGGGAGAACTTGAGCCAATAGGGGCCAAGATACATGGAGGGCTAAGGATGATGGAGGTGGTTCTGGAAACTTCATGTACCAACAGTAAGGGACACTACAAGTGAGAGAGGGAGAGGATGAACTAGGCAAGACGGACCTAGTATTCACCTTTGGAGTAGTGCAGATATGGAGGACTTTCACATATGAAAAGACCCCTTGGGGCCAGCGATCATGTTGGTTTTGAGATTTCGAATACTAGTAGAGCATACAAGTGGAGGGGAAGCAGGTAGGCTAGGGCGATTGAACAAAACTACAAGAAAGGGGACTACACGGGAATGAGGAACTTCCTGAATGAGTTTCAGTGGGACAGAGAACTGGGAGGGTAGCACAGTTAATGACGATGAGGAATATGTAACAAAATGTGCTAGGAGGCGGAGGAGAGGTTTGTTACCCAGGGTAACTGGAATAATGGAAAAAGCCGATGAGCCCATGGTTCACCCAAAGGGGCAGGGAGGCAAAAACCAAGTGTGCTAGGGAATGGAAGGAAATATAGAAAGGCAGAGGACCAAGGAGGAATAAGGAGAGCAGTCTTAGGACAGAATTGAATATGCACAGATAAGAAGGGTGCCCAACGGACAATATGAAAACGACTTAGCAGCGAAAGCCAATCTGACCGAAGCTATTTATACAGCCAATCAGGGAGGAAAACAACATCAAGGACGGTAATCTGGCTAAGGAAGGGAAGGCGGAGAGACAACAAGAATGAGGCCGTGAAGTATGTGAGGAACAACAAAAGATTCAAGAAGTGTTCGAGGGAGACAGAAGGGGCTCCAGAAAGACAGTGAGGTGGGTACTCCACCAAGTGCTGGAACAGTACACACAACCGAGGAAGAAGTGAAGAGGCTTCTGAGTGGCTAGATACCTCAAAAGGCAATGGGGTGGGGATAACATCTCTCACTGGTCTGTGAGAGGGAGCAGAGGCCCCCCCCCCCCCCCCCTGTGGGCCGTCTTTTCCCCCCCCCCCCCCCCCGTCAGGGGGGTTCGTGGGCTTGCTATGTGTTAACCATAAACAAACAATATTAATGCATCTCATCGAAACAGGGAGATTTCTGAGGCATGGAAGACAGCAAAATGTAGTCCCACATCTTTAAAAAAGGAACAGCCATGAGCACTCTAAACTATAGACCAGTGGTCACTGGAATGTATAGTATGCAAAGTCATGGAGAAGTTCATCAGGAGAAGGAGTAGTGGACCAACTAGAAGAGGAATGATCTCATCTACAGTAGCCAACATGGTTTCAGGACGGGAAATCCTGTGTCACAAACCTACTGAAGTTCTATGACATGGTGACAGGAGTAAGACAAGGAGAGTGAGGGGTGGGTGGGATTGCATTTTTCTTGGACTGCAAGAGGCGTTTGACACTGTTCCACACAAGGAGATTAGAGCACATACTGGAGGGTCCAAGCAGGGATACAGGGAAGGTACTACAATGGATCAGGGAATACAGTCAGATGGACAGCAGCGATCATGGTACATGGCGAGATGTCAGAGTGGGTACCTGTGACCAGCGGGGTCCACTGGGGTCAGTCTAGGACCAATGCTGTTTTCTGGTATTTAGTGAACAAACATGATGGAAGGAATTAGACTCTGAGGTGTCCCGGTTTGCAGATGACTGAAGTTGATGAGAAGAATTCATTCGATCGGAAGACATGGTAGAACTACAAAGGGATCTGGACAGGCTGACAGGACCTGGTCAGCAATTGGTTCCTGGAGTGGCTCAACCACACCAAGTTGCAAGTTCATGAAAAAAGATTGGGAAGGGCAAAGAAGACCGCCAGATGGAATCAGTCTAGGGGGCCAGGAGACTACAAACCTCACTCAAGGAAAAAGATCTTGGGGTGAGATAACCACCGAGACATCTCCTGAAGGCGCACATCAACCAAAATAATGCTGCTGCTTATGGGTGCCTAAGTCAACCTTAAGAACAGCATTACGACATTCTTTATAGGTTTCATTCAGGACTGACACGTGTACGTTTGGTCCATATTGGAGTATGCGGCAACAGTTTGAAAACCACACCTAGCCAAGCACGTTATGAAAACTAGAGAAAGTGCAAAGGTTGCTACAAGACTAGTCCCAGAGTTAAGATGTATGTCCTCAAGGAGAGGTTTAAGGGAAATCAAACCTGACGAATCTGGAGGTCCAGATGGATAGGGGGGACATGATAAACGACTTACCAAAAATACTGAGAGGAATTGACAAGGTGGACAATGACAGGATGTTCCAGAGATTGGACACAATAACAGGGACACAGTTGGAAGTGAAGACACAGATGTAATCACAGGGATGTTAGGAAGATTTTTTCTTCAGCTCAGAAGTAGTCAGTAAGTGATTAGTTGGGGAGCGATGTAGTGGAGGCAGATCCATTACATAGCTTTAAGCAGAGGTATGATAAGCTACGGCTCAAGGGAGAGTGACCTAGTAGCGATCAGTGAAGAGGCGGGGCCAGGAGCTCGGACTCGACCCCGCAAACTCATCTAGGGTGTACAACTAGTTGTGTACAACACCACACACCACACACCACAACTACACCACACACACACACACCAAACACCGTTAGGTTGACCCACTAACCAGTCTGCTCTCTCTTCCCGTACCTCCGGCTTTTGTTCCAAGCATCCTGAGTCACCCGGACTTGAATCACACACTCATAAGTTTCACAATCCTCGGATCAAACCAGAACATGACACCATACAAACCCAGTTGATGTTAGTATTGAAGAGTCGATCTTCCTGGTACTGTCCTGGGTGTTTAACGTGTTTCTTTCTGGGTAGTTGTGTGTGTTTGGTGGTGTTTGTACCACCACCACCACCTGTAGCACCACCACCTGTAGCACCACCACCTGTAGCACCACCAGAACCACCTGTAGCACCAACGGCTCCACCTGTAGCACCACCAGAACCACCTGTAGTACCACCACCACCTGCAGCACCACCACCACCTATAACATCACCACCACCACCTGTAACTCCACCAGCACCACCTGTAACTCCACCACCACTACTACCACCATCTATCACTATCTTCTGGTCTTGTTCATTTGTTTCAGCGTAATTTCTTGTGTGTAAGACAGCTATGTGCACCAGCGTGAGTGTGCACATGAGCAAGCACACTAATATACACTTTTTTGCACCTTTGTGCACTTGTGGGCACCTTTGGAGAGGCATGACTAGTGGATGTTTGTAGAGCGTGTGAGGTTGTGCACTGTGCTGGTGGTGGTGGCTGGTAGACTGTGTGTGTGTGTGTGTGTGTGTGTGTGTGTGTGTGTGTGTGTGTGTGTGTGTGTGTGTGTGTGTGTGTGTGTACTCACCTATTTGTGGTTGCAGGGGTCGAGTCTTAGCTCCTGGCCCCGCCTCTTCACCGGTTGTTACTGGGCCCTCTCTCTACCCGCTCCATGTGCTTTATCAAACCTCGTCTTAAAACTGGGTATGGGTTCTGCCTCCACTACGTCATTTTCTAGGCTATTCCACTGCCTTACAAACTTATGACTGTAGAATACTATCCTACTATCTCTCTGCTCATTTGTGTCTTCAACTTCCAATTGTGGCCTCTTGTTTCTGTGTCCCCTCCCTGGACTTCCTGTCTTTGTCCACCTTGTCCTATTCCACGCAGTATTTTTATTTGTCGTTATCATGTCTTCCCTGACACTCCTGTCCTCAGGGTTTCGTCAGGCGTTACCCTTAATCTTTCTTCATAGGACATTCCCCTTAGCTCTGGAAAAAACTAACCTTGTCGCAAACCTTTGTTCTTTCTCTAGTTTCTTGACGTGCTTTATCAAGTGCGGGTTCCAACAGGGCTGCCTATCTGTATGGGCCTGACCATACACGGGTGTACAGTGTCTTGAATGATTCTTATTAAGTGTATCGAATGCTGTTCTCAGGTTTGCAGGCGCCCCATATGCTGCAGCAGTTATCTGATTGATGTGTGCTTCCGGAGACATGCTCGGTGTTATACTCACCCCAAGATCTGTGTGTGTGTGTACTCACCTAGTTGTACTCACCTAGTTGAGTTTGCGGGGGTCGAGTCCGAGCTCTGGCCCCGCCCTCGTCACTGGATCGCTACTAGGTCACTCTCCCGAGCCGTGAGCTTTATCATACCTCTGCTTAAAGCTATGTTTGGATCTGCCTCCACTACATCGCTTCCCAAACTAATTCCACGTACTGACTACTCTGTGGACTGAAGAAATACATAATAACATCCTGTGATTCATCTGTGTCTTTGCTTCCACTGTGTCCCCTTGTTATGTGTCCAATCTCTGGAACATCCTGTCTTTGTCACACCTTGTCAATTCACCTCAGTATTTTGTATGTCGTTATTCAGGTCCCCCTATCTTCTCCTTGTCCTCCAGTGTCGTCAGGTTTATTTCCCTTAACCTCTCCTCGTTTAGGGACATACCTCTGAGCTCTGGGACTTAGTCTTGTTGCAATCCTTTGCACTTTCTCTAGTTTCCTTTACGTGCTTGGGCTAGGTGTTGGGTTCCAAACGGGTGGCGCATAATCCATATGGGCCTAACGTATCGGTGATACGGGTCCTGACGACATCCTTATTAAGATGTCGGAATGTGTTCTGAGGTTTGCTAGGCGCCCATTTGCTGCAGCAGTTATTTCGGTTGATGTGCGCTTCAGGAGATGTGCATGGTTGTATACTCCCCCAATGATCTTTTTCCGTGAGTGAGGTTTGTAGTCTCTGACCCCTAGACTGTACTTCCGTCTGCGGCCTCCTTCTTTGTCTTCCCATCTTCTATGACTTTGCACTTGGTGGGATTGAACTCTGGAGCCAATTGCTGGACAGGTCTGCAGCCTGTTCCAGATCCCCTTTGTAGTTCTGCCTGGTCTTCGATCGAGTGTATTCTTCTCATCAACTTCACGTCATCTGTGTGTGTGTGTGTGTGTGTATGTGTGTGTGTGTGTACTCACCTATTTGTACTCACTATTTGTGGTTGCAGGGGTCGAGTCACAGCTCTGGCCCCGCCTCTTCGCTGATTGCTACTAGGTCCTCTCTCTCCCTGCCCCATGAGCTCTATCATACCTCGCCTTAAAACTATGTATGGTTCCTGCCTCCACTACATCACTTTCTAGGTTATTCCATGGCCTGACTACTCTATGACTGAAGAAATACTTCCTAACATCCCTTTGATTCATCTGAGTCTTCAACTTCCAATTGTGACCTCTTGTGTCTGTGTCCCATCTCTGGAACATCCCGTCTTTGTCCACCACATCTATTCTGCGCAGTATTTTATATGTCGTTATCATGTCTCCCCTGATCCTCCTGTCCTCCAGTGTCGTCAGGCCGATTTCCCTCAACCTTTCTTCATAGGACAATCCCGTAGCTCTGGGACTAGTCTTGTTGCAAACCTTTGCACTTTCTCTAATTTCTTGACGTGCTTGACTAGGTGTGGATTCCAAACTGGTGCTGCATACTCCAGTATGGGCCTGACGTAGATGGTATACAGAGTCTTAAATGAATCCTTACTGAGGTATCGGAACGCTATCCGTAGGTTTGCCAGGCGCCCGTATGCTGCAGCAGTTATCTGATTGATGTGCGCCTCAGGAGATATGCTCGGTGTTATACTCACCCCCAGATCTTTTTCCTTGAGTGAGGTTTGCAATCTTTGGCCATCTAAACTATATTGTGTCTGCGGTCTTCTTTGCCCTTCCCCAATCTTTATGACTTTGCATTTGGCAGGGTTAAATTCAAGGAGCCAGTTGCTGGACCAGGCTTGTAGCCTGTCCAGGCCTCTTTGTAGTCCTGCCTGATCCTCGTCCGATTTGATTCTTCTCATTAACTTCACATCATCTGCAAACAAGGACACTTCTGAGTCTATCCCTTCCGTTATGTCGTTCACATATACCAAGAACAGCACAGGTCCTACGACTGACCCCTGTGGAACCCCGCTTGTCACAGGCGCCCACTCTGACACCTCGTCGCGTACCATGACTCGTTGTTGCCTCCCTGTCAGATATTCTCTGATCCATTGCAGTGCCTTTCCTGTTATGTGTGCCTGATCCTCTAGCTTTTGCAGTAACCTCTTGTGAGGAACTGTGTCGAAGGCCTTCTTGCAGTCCAAAAATATGCTGTCGATCCACCCCTCTCTCTCTTGTCTTACTTCTGTTTACCTGGAGTTTACCTGGAGAGAGTTCCGGGGGTCAACGCCCCCGCGGCCCGGTCTGTGACCAGGCCTCCTGGAGGATCAGAGCCTGATCAACCAGGCTGTTGCTGCTGGCTGCACGCAAACCAACGTACGAGCCACAGCCCGGCTGATCAGGAACTGACTTTAGGTGCTTGTCCAGTGCCAGCTTGAAGACTGCCAGGGGTCTGTTGGTAATCCCCCTTATGTGTGCTGGGAGGCAGTTGAACAGTCTCGGGCCCCTGACACTTATTGTATGGTCTCTTAACGTGCTAGTGACACCCCTGCTTTTCATTGGGGGGATGGTGCATCGTCTGCCAAGTCTTCTGCTTTCGTAGTGAGTGATTTTCGTGTGCAAGTTCGGTACTAGTCCCTCTAGTATTTTCCAGGTGTATATAATCATGCATCTCTCCCGCCTGTGTTCCAGGGAATACAGGTTCAGGAACCTCAAGCGCTCCCAGTAATTGAGGTGTTTTATCTCCGTTATGCGCGCCGTGAAAGTTCTCTGTACATTTTCTAGGTCGGCAATTTCACCTGCCTTGAAAGGTGCTGTTAGTATGCAGCAATATTCCAGCCTAGATAGAACAAGTGACCTAAAGAGTGTCATCATGGGCTTGGCCTCCCTAGTTTTGAAGGTTCTCATTATCCATCCTGTCATTTTTCTAGCAGATGCGATTGATACAATGTTATGGTCCTTGAAGGTGAGATCCTCCGACATGATCACTCCCAGGTCTTTGACGTTGGTGTTTTGCTCTATTTTGTGGCCAGAATTTGTTTTGTACTCTGATGAAGATTTAATTTCCTCATGTTTACCATATCTGAGTAATTGAAATTTCTCATCGTTGAACTTCATATTGTTTTCTGCAGCCCACTGAAAGATTTGGTTGATGTCCGCCTGGAGCCTTGCAGTGTCTGCAATGGAAGACACTGTCATGCAGATTCGGGTGTCATCTGCAAAGGAAGACACGGTGCTGTGGCTGACATCCTTGTCTATGTCGGATATGAGGATGAGGAACAAGATGGGAGCTAGTACTGTGCCTTGTGGAACAGAGCTTTTCACCGTAGCTGCCTCGGACTTTACTCTGTTGACGACTACTCTCTGTGTTCTGTTAGTGAGGAAATTATAGATCCATCGACGACTTTTCCTGTTATTCCTTTAGCACGCATTTTGTGCGCTATTACGCCATGGTCACACTTGTCGAAGGCTTTTGCAAAGTCTGTATATATTACATCTGCATTCTTTTTGTCTTCTAGTGCATTTAGGACCTTGTCGTAGTGATCCAATGGTTGAGACAGACAGGAGCGACCTGTTCTAAACCCATGTTGCCCTGGGTTGTGTAACTGATGGGTTTCTAGATGGGTGGTGATCTTGCTTCTTAGGACCCTTTCAAAGATTTTTATGATATGGGATGTTAGTGCTATTGGTCTGTAGTTCTTTGCTGTTGCTTTACTGCCCCCTCTGTGGAGTGGGGCTATGTCTGTTGTTTTTAGTAACTGTGGGACGACCCCCGTGTCCATGCTCCCTCTCCATAGGATGGAAAAGGCTCGTGATAGGGGCTTCTTGCAGTTCTTGATGAACACAGAGTTCCATGAGTCTGGCCCTGGGGCAGAGTGCATGGGCATGTCATTTATCGCCTGTTCGAAGTCATTTGGCGTCAGGATAACATCAGGATAACACCTTGTCATAAAACTCTAGTACGTTTGTGACACAGGATTTTCCTTCCCTGAAACTGTGCTGGTTGTCAATTATACACTTGTTTCTTTCCAGGTGCCCCACCCCTCTCCTCCTGATGATCTTCTCCATGACCTTGCATACTACACACGTTAGTGATACAGGTCTGTAGTTTAGTGCCTCATGTCTGTCTCCCTTTTTAAAAATTGGGACTACATTTGCCATTTTCCATACCTCAGGGAGTTGCCCAGTTTCAAATGATGTGTTGAAGATCTTTGTTAATGGCTCACACAATATTTCTGCTCCCTCTTTAAGGACCCATGGAGAGATGTTGTCTGGTCCCACCGCCTTTGAGGTGTCAAGTTCGCATAGCAACTTCTTCACCTCCTCCTTGGTTATATGTACCTCATCCAGCACTTGCTGGTGTGC